CATCGATGGTTTAGCCTTCCCATCGCTGGGTTCCCATCGATGGGTAAAGCTTCCCATCGCTGGGTAAGGGCATTCTGCCTTGTGATAATATTGGACCAAGGCTTGAACAGCGATGGGTAGAGCTTCCCATCGCTGTTTGGCATGGTTCTGGAAGTTGGTTTGGCTAAGGGGCTACTTACCCATCGATGGGATGTTCTTCCCATCGCTGGGTTGGTGGTTAGCCAAAAACCTGTGGTTTTTGCCTTAACCACGGCCTAGCCAACCGATGCAAAAACCGACCGAAAAATCCAAGGTTCTCCAAAATAAAAAACCAAGTGTTTAAAACATTTATTTGATGTATTTGGCTAAGAAATCAAGTGAGACACTTTAAAAATCACTTCATTTGATTAAAAACCACGGCTAGCCAAGTTTACGCCGTTTTGCGTGGTTTTTGTCAAACGACTAAAAAACGAGGGATGGTTTTCAAAGTGTTTTTGTTGGAGAACCGTTTAAACATGCCAAAGAGTGAAAGAAGATCATAAAATGCTGAAAACCACTTGGTTTGTTCGGATGCCAAAAACCAAACCCGACAACCGAAAGCCGAACGCTGGTTTCTGAAAGCCGAACACTGGATGGCTTGGTTTTTGGTTTGGGCGAACACCAAGTGTTTTTAATGAATTAAACAAGTTTAAAAACATTTTTATGATGTAAGAAATGCAATGAGAGTTTTTAGCCTAAAGAGCCAAGGTGTAAAGATTGGGTCGGTCTTGATCACAATAAAGAAAGACTCAATACTATGATTAAGGTCTTCGTTCTTGGTCTTCGTTTAGCTCTTGCTCTTATCTTCGTTCTTCGCCTTGTATATTCAATGTTCGACTTGATCACGGCGGTTTGGCATTATCAAAACCTGTTACAAAAACGAACACGGCTTTAGTACGAAAACGTGACAAGCCCGTGTTTCAACACTTTCGTTTGTGGTCGTTTGGCAAAAACCACGCAAAACGGCATAAACTTTGCTAACCGTGGTTTTTACTCAAATGACGTGGTTTTTAAAGTGTCTCACTTGATTTCTTAGCCAAATACATCAAATAAGTGTTTTAAACACTTGGTTTTTATTTTGGAGAACTTTGTATTTTTCGGTCGGTTTTTGCATCGGTTGGCTAGGCCGTGGTTAAGGCAAAAACCATAGGTTAACCACCCACCCAGCAATGGGAAGAACATCCCATTGATGGGTAAGCGGCCCCTTAGCCAAACCAACTTCCAGAACCATGCCAAACAGCGATGGGAGGTTCCACCCATCGCTGTTAAAGCCTTGGTCCAACATCAACACAAGGCAGAACAACCTTACCCAGCGATGGGGACTTCTACCCATTGATGGGAACCCAGCGATGGGAAAGCGTACCCATCGATGGTTAGGCATGACCGTTGTAAGTCATTTAAGGTTGATTCACTTCACAATATTCATATTTTCATTGCATTCAAACAACATTCTTTTCCATAGCTTTTTAGAGCCATTTTGTGTGAAGGTTGAGTTGTTCTTGAGCGTAGTTAGTTTACTCATCATCTACTCTATAAGAGAGTCTCATTCTTGAGTGTATTTGTGTTGCTAGACACGTTGAGAGAAAGTATTTCTCTCAGTTGATTCAAAGGAAGGGCTGGTTCTTTTGAAGGATTCGTTGAGGTTCGTGTGACTCGAACTCTCAAGTTGTAAGGGTTTGTTAAGCACCGTTAAGCTTAACGATATAGTAGTGTAGCTCGAGAGAGTCTCTCGGGAGGCTGGATTAGCCACAAGTTGTGGTGAACCAGGGTAAATTTGGTGTGCCTCTTACTCTTCTCTTTACATCTCTTTTAAATTTTTTAATTCCTGCGATTTCTACGATCAAACGCTATTCACCCCCCCTCTAGCGTTGGTCTATTATTCTAACAATTGGTATCGGAGCCTAACTCGCGTCCAAACTTAACTGTTCGAGAGTAAAGCGATCATGGGTTCTTCTTCTAGAAATCTTTATGCAGGAATTGGAGAAGGTCAATCAACCTCTAGGCCACCGCTTTTTGATGGCATCAACTACACATATTGGAAAGGGCGGATGAGAATTTATATCCGCTCAACCAACTTCCAGTTGTGGTTGGTCATCAAAAACGACGAAGAAACGCCAATGAAGAAGGTCGATGAAAAACTCGTCCCAAAGAACGAAGACAAATTTGATGCCAAAGACATCAAAAAGGTGGAGAACTACGCCAAGGCAATCAACATGCTGTACTGTGCAGTCAATCCTGATGATTATCGCAAGATCTCTTGCTGCACCATTGCAAAAGAAAAGTGGGACAAGCTGGAAGTCACATATGAAGGTACGGACCAAGTTCGGGAAGCCAAAATTGACTTCCTAACGTAGGAGTACGAGATGTTCAGGATGAAGGAAGGCGAAAAGATCGATGACATGTTCGATCGGTTCTCAAAGATCATCAACGACCTTCACGCTCTCAAGAAGACGTACGCCAACAAGGACCTTGTGAGGAAAATCCTGTGGAGTCTCACACCCGAATGGAGATCAAAGGCTGACGCAATCTACGAATCCATCGGAGTCTCCAATGTCACCATCGACGGGCTAAGAGGTAACCTCAAAACTTATGAATCTACTATTCTAACCCCGTATTTGGATGAACAAAAGAAGAAGGGAATAACACTGAAAGAAACCAAGGAGACCGTGGAAGAAGACTGAAGCAATGATGACAACGAGTTCGGAATCGTCATCAAGAAATTCCACAAATTTATGAAGAAGAAAGCACGACGGTCCCCCGAAGTGCTATGGTTGTGGTTAGATTGGCCACATCAAGCCGAGGTGTCCAAAAGACAAAAGCGGCAAGGACAAACCTGGCTTCAAAAAGCAACGCGCCTACATCTCATGGGGTGGCGACTCCGGGGATGAGTCAACGGATCAAGAAGAGGAAGAAGCCGCCAACCTCTGTCTCATGGCACACGAAGACCACGTCAACGAAGTACAAGAGGTATGTACCCCTTCTTCCGACTCTTACACTTTTGAAGAGATGCAAGAAGCTCTTCGAGAGCTTTATGATGAATTTGTTAGCGCTTCTAAAACCAACAAATCATTAAAGAAACGTCTTTCAA